ATTCCCCAGCACTGTTCCCATTCCCCAATTCCCCAATAAAAATCTAAAAAAAAAAAAATAGTTAGAATAAAGTTATTATAGCACTGACTTCTTGGACAGTTTGGATAAAGTGGGCTAAATGAATCAACTTCACCTGTATTCCTTCTTTATAATACACAATTAATGACACAACAGACTCTCCAGTAAAGCCTAACTAAGCATTTCACTTAAAATAACTTGCTTAGATAACCTATCATTTTAATAGTTTCTAAAACACGTACCCGTTAAAAAGAAACATACCATTACATATGTCTTGCAGCCCTGAGACGAGTGTGGTTGAGGGAGAACTACTTCATGATTTGATTCAGCCTTGTCAGAAACCGTGGAAGCAACAGGCTTGGGTTTATGATCACCATTTTTAATATTGTTTTTAGTTTTTCTTTATGAGAAAGAAAAGAAGAAAAAGTTTTTATCAATATAGTGAAGATTAAAGGTTTTTATGCATAAGAGAAAATGTGTGTATGTATTACAGTCCCTTATAAAACTACTCAACTTGTAGAGAAAAGTCTTCTAAAAACCAGGGGTATTCCACAAAACACTTGACCAGTATTATTCAAAAACAATCAAGGTCATGAAAAATAAGGAAAATGAAAACTGTCACAGACCCAAGTTCACTAAGGAGACATGAGGACTAAATGTAATATAATCTCCCAGACTGGATCCTAGAACAGAAAAAGTGTTATTAGTGAAAAAACTAGGAAAAGCCGAATAAAGTCTGGAGTTGAGTCAACAGTAAGGTACTGATGTTGGGTTCTCTGTTCTAACAAATATTACCACAACTGATTTGCAATGTTTGAGAGTAAAAATCATTGGTATACTCAGCCTTGACTTGCACAATAAGTATATACAGAAATAATATCCCCGACTGTTTTAGTGTGACTTTTCTACAACTGGGTTAAACCTCTGAAAAATGTAAGGGGGAAGCATGAAGGCCAGCACTGCAGATGGAACGCCTAAGGTTTGTTGGTGGGAAATTACAGACAAATAAACAAAAAGATGGTCTTTCTTTATCCCTGGGAGCCTTTCTAGCATTGCCTCCCAAATTTAACATGTCACAAGGCAAAGGTTGTGAAGGTCCTGTCCAGCCCTAAGTCGTAGATCCTGGAATAGGGTCCTCAGTGAAGGCAGGACCTACAGTCCAAGAAAGGAATTCTTTTTCTCTTGAGAAGTTATGAGTTAAGACGGAACTTTAAGAAGCTCTCAGAAATTTCAGCACAGTATTTTAGATGTGACTATTATCTCACATAGTAAATAATGTAATAGGTTTCTTAGATAATCTCTCATTTTAATATGGTTTCTAAAACATGTCTTTCTAAAGACATATTCAATATGTCTTAGGACCCTCTGAGAAACGGTAAAGTGGTTCTCTAAATGGTTCTCTAGATTTCTGATTTTAGCAATTAAACAAATCTTAACACATGTTCTAATCATGCAATTTAATTTCATGTTTAAAAGAAACCCACCATAAATTCTTGTACAGTAAAATTATAGAAGCCACCCTCTTTTATTCCATCTATATAGCCCAGCTATTTGCAAGGGAAGTATCTTACGCCTTTGTGGCCTCCAAAAACAAGGAGATTTGGCGCTTTATGTAAGGCTGCCTCAGGATGCTCCTCACAGACGGTCTTTCTTCAGGCCTTTTGCTCAGCATTGTTCTTATCAGTTCTGCCAGCTCTGGGCTGTAATCTTTCGGCATTGGGGGCAGCTACAAGGAGAAATAATACCGCAATTATGACTAATGGTCTTGTGAAGTAAATGAATGTAGAAGTTTTCTAATATATATTTTAAGTTTATGCACATAAGCAGAGAATAACCAGTGTATTGATTGGTCTACAGAAAGCGTCCTGGTGTCCTGGTTATACCGGCAAGCTGTAAGATTGTGAAACTATATCCTTCCAACCAGCAGTCCCATTTGAGGACTCTCTCCTTCAGAAATAAGGGCATGAGTTCCTAAAGACTTATGTGCCAGGATATTCACTGCAGTATCGCACTTGCAGTAGTAAAAACTGGAAGCTACTTCAATGTCCATGGGGGTCCTATGGAATAGACTATGGTACATCCTTCTAATAAAATACTAGGCAGCCTCTTATAAAATGAGCCCAGGTACCAACCTGTTAAGATGTTCCTCAGATATTAAGTCAAAAAAGTGAATTGTGTATACCAATGTATACATTCTGCTTCCATTTCAGTTACTTTTTTTAAAGTATCTGTATGTGTAGGATGCTAGAGTTATGTCTGTATAAGACAGGGAAAAGGCAAGAAGGCCATGCATCAATTGTTAGCAATAATTATCTCCAGGGGATGAAAATGGATAGGAGAGCAAAATTTCACTCCTTTCTTGTTTGATTCTTTAACTAATAGAATTATGGACAAATTTTACTTTTTCATTTTCAATTTCTCAAGTTAAAAAATTACATGAAGGATCTCCAGTCAAGATGGCAGAGTAAATGAATGCTGTGCTTGCCTCCACTCAAACCATGTCAAAATTACAATAAACTATAGAACAACTATCATTGAGAATTGCCTAGAGTCTAACTGAACCAAAGTCCTACACTAAGGACATCTAGAACAAGCCACCTCAAGACTGGTAGGAGGGGCAAATGTGGAATAGGCTGGTCCCACACCTGAGTGGGACCATTAAAAATTGGGAGGGATATCTCCGCTGTGGAGGTCCCCTCCCGCAACCCCCACCCTCGAAGGAGCAAGGGGGTCCCAGCCATACACCAGGCTCCACAGCCCAGGGTTCCAGTGCTAGGGAGAAAAGTCCCCTTAACTTTTGGCTATAAAAACCAGTGGAGATTGTGAGACAGAGGGTGGCTGCAGTCCCAGGTACTCATCTTAAAGGGCCTGTGCATGGACTTATTTGCTGATGGATTCACTTGCTCTGAGCACCAGTACTGGGGCAGCAGCTAGAAAGGCGCCAGGGACATACGGGAGGGACTGAGTTGTCTGGTTTCAAGTCAAGGGCTAGAGGGGCAGCTTTCTCTAGGCAGAAGTGCTGGCAGAATCCAATGTTTCTTTGTTGAGCCCTCCCCGTCCCGGCATGGAAACACAGTCGGCTTCCATATGTGAGTCTCCATCAACTTGGCTAACATCGTTCATCCACATTCAGCCACACTGCCCTAGTGATTCCCTGAGACCTCACCCCACCCAACTTTCGGGCACTCCCAGGCCTCTTCCAGTGGCTCTTCCTATCTTGACTCATGCTGTGGAATTTCCTAAAATCTCTCGGAGGTTTACAAAACCCAAACAAGCATCATCTGGACTCAGTGTGTCCTGTACTTCTTGTTGAACAGCCCCACGCCTGGTACTAGTGCCAGCCGGTCTCAGTTAATGAACTGGCTTCTCGAGGCACCTATAAACCAGCACAGGTGGTGGTCATCTGTGGATTGCTTTATGGATATTGTCAGGTGACCCTGGGCAGGGCACAGGCTGCAGCAGAATTTGGCCTGTGGCAGGACCCCTCCCAGGAGTCTCTAGGAGACTGCACCACTGGGCCCCACAGGACACCCATTATATAAGGCCTCTCTACTAATACCAGAGCACAGCAGCCCTACCTAATACATAGAAACAAACACAGAAAGACAGCCAAAATGGGGAGACAAAGAAACATGTCTTAGGCTGCCGCAAGGAGAGGAATGGTCGCCATGTCTGTACATCTGGAATAGATGGTCGTGCACAACTGCTCCAGCTTTCTGATCAAAAGTAACAGGCAGACATACAGCACCAAGCTCAATAATCTGAAGGCCTGTAACTCATTCCACTACAATGGACTGGTTGACCACAAGACAGTGGGCATGGACCTAGTGGCAATGGCAAAGGTGTGGCGGTCATCATGAAGTGGAGATCCGGCCAGCGATAGCTGGCCACCTTCTGCATGTGAACCACCATCAACAAGAACACCTGAGCCATCCTCATTATCATCTGGCACATCATCTGCAAGAACAAGTACCACCCAGAACAGTGTATGGCCGCCATTTGCAGAGCCAGCATCATCCTGTGCAGTCAGAAGCCCATGACTCTGAAGAGGAAGTCACCTGGCTCCACCCAGAGTTCCTGAGCACCTCTCCAACAAAGCAACAAAGCATAAAGCATCAGCTGACTTTCTCCAAAAAAAGAAGAAAAAAAGAAACGTCCTAAATGAAAGAACAGAACAAAGTTCCAGAAAAAGAGCTCAACAAAGTAGAGACAAGCAATCTGCCTGATGCAGGTTCAAAACACTGGTTATAAGGATGCTCAATGATCTCGGTAGGAACTTCAACAAAGAGATAGGAAACATACAAATAAAGATAGAAAATATAAAAAAAAGAAGTCAGAAATAAAGAATACAATAACTGAAATGAAGAATACATTAGAGAGAAACAACAGATTTCATGAAGCAGAGAATCGAATCAATGATTTAGAAGACAGCAGAAAACACCCAATCAGAACAGCAAAAAAAACAACAAAAAAAACCCAAAATAAGGACATTTTAAGAGGCCTCTGGGACAATATCAAACACACCAATATTCTCATCTTATGGGTAGCAGAAGGAGAAGAGAAAAAGCAAGCAACTGAAAACCTATTTAAAGAAATAATAATGGAAAACTTCCCTAACTTGGAGAAAGAAATAGACATACAGGATCAGGAAGCACAGCAAGTCCCAAACAAGATGAACCCGAACAGGCCCACACCAGACACATCATAATTAAAAATCCAAAGATTAAAGACAAAGAAAGAATCTTAAAGCAGCAAGAGAAAAGCAGTTAGTTACCTACAAGGGAGCTCCCATAAGAATGTCAGTTGATTCCTCAACAAAAACTTTGCAGGCCAGAAGGGATTGGCACAAAATACACAAAATGATGAAAAGCAAGGACCTACAACCAAGATTATACTACCCAGCAAAGCTATCACTTAGAATCAAAGGAGACATAAGAGCTTCCCAGACAAGAAAAAATTAAAGGAGTTCATTCACCACCAAACCAGTATTAAAAGGAATCTTAGAGGCACTTCATTAAGACAAAAAATAAGAATAATAAAATGGCAATAACTACATATCTATCAACTATTACTTTAAATGTAAATGAATGAAATCTTCCAATCAAAAGATAGTGTGGCTAAATGGATAAGAAAACAAGACCCTTACATATGCTGCCTACAAGAGACTTACTTCAGATCAATCAAAAGACACACACACACAGACTGACAGTGAAGGGATGAAAAAAGATATTTCATGAAAATGAAAATGAAAAAAATAAAAGCTAGGGTGGCAATACTTATACCAGACAAAATAGATATTAAAACAAAGCCTATAACAAAAGACAAAGAAGGACCCCCCCAATAATCCCACTTCCTGGTATTTATGTGAAAAAAACAAAAACGATACTTCGAGGGGATGTGGGCATCCATACGTTCATTATAGCATTGCTAACAATGGCCAAGATGTGGAGGCAGCCCTGATGCTCACTGATGGATGGATGGATAAAGAGCAGGTGGTACATGTATACAATGGAATGTTGTTTGGCCATGGAAGTAAATGGGTTCTTGCCATCTGCAGCAGCAGAGAACCTGGAGGGTATTGTGCTGAGTGGAGTATTTCAGAAGAGAAAGGCAGATGTAAAGTGGTTTTGCTTATATGTGGAATGTAAGGAACAAAATAAACAAAACAGAAGCAAACTCATACATACAGAGAATATTTTGATGGTTGACAGATGGGAGAGGGGTTGGGAGGATGGGTGAGTGGGTGAAAAAGAAGAAGGGGTTAAGAAGTACAAACTGGGACTTCCGGTAAGATGGCGGAATAGACAGACGCTGTGCCGATTGCCTCCCAGGATCACACCAAAATTACAAATAATTTATAAGATATTCAACCTCGGAAGTTCCCTGAACACTAGATAAACAGAACCTCTAAATGAAGGACTTAAAAAGGAGGCCACGACGAGTCTGGTAGGAGGGGCGGAGACAAGAGAGGGCAAACCCCGTAAGGGACACCTCAGCGGTGGGGAGGCTTTGCCGGTTGGGGGCGAGACCCTCCAGCCCCATACCATGCTCACCAGCCCAGAGTTACATTGCCGGGAAGAGGAGTTTTATGATAGCTGGAAGTAGAAATTAGTGAGGACTCTCTTTGCTCAACTCGGTGAGGCTGAGGGCAGTTGGAGAACCAGTGGAGCCGGCAAATGGACTAGCTCGCTGGTGAGCACTCACCCAGTTCCTGATAGAGGGAGTAGCTGTGTAAGCGGGGCCCAGGAACCTGTGGGAAGGACTGAACTGAGCGCCTTTGGTGCATGAGCTGGAGGTTTTGGGACCATTGTTCCCCTGGTGTGGAGCTTGCACATGAGAACTGCACAGGAGGGTGCCATTTTTTCAGGGCTGGGCCCGCCCACAGAGACTCAGGTCTGGGACCACATTGGTCTCGTGGAATTGGCGCAGGAGTGTGTTCGTGTGTGCCGTGCGCAAGCACGCAGCCTTGGATCCCCACCTTCCACACTGCTTGTGCTGCATAGCCAGGGAAACACCTGGCAGGCGCGCTCTGGCTCCAACAGGCTGCTTATTGAGACCCGGGAGTGCGCGACTTGCCTTAGGTCCCTGCTCTCCGCACTGCATGTGCAGAGTTGCCAGGGTGGCGAATGGCTGTCGGGCTGCTTGGCCCGATCTGCGAGCAGCTGAGTTGGACAGGTTGAGACTGGGAGTTTTCCTGGGAGCGTAGGGCCATGAGCTGTGCGCCTG